TATCTGTGGACCCTCTCCTGGGTAGCACAGGGCTTGCAGAGGGGCTGAGGCACTTGGAGCCATCCGCGGGATGGGGGGAGTCCTTGGCACACCGGTGCTATCCTGACACATCTCTACCAGGCCCTTCCCTGCAAGTCCCCATTTGACAGATGGGAAAATTGAGGTTCAGAGAGGCCAAATGATTCTCAAGGTCACCCAGCTCAGAAGCAACTGAGTCAGTCAGGAGGGAATGGCTCTGAGAAGTCCTCGGAGGACTCCCTAATGTGGGGGAGTTTGTGTAGGGCGAGGTCCCTTTCTTTGGGGCAAGGCTCTGGCAAGGTCCAGGAGTGTGAGGAACCCCGAGCGCTGGGGCTGCGTGTCCTGGAGCATGGTTGAAGGGGGGAGGGGCGGCAGAATGGGTGTGTGCGCCACGGGCTTATGTGCATGTGTGGGAGTGTGCATGGGTGGAGATGCACACTGTCTTTGCGTGTGTGCACACGTGTACAGATGTCAGAGCTACTGTGGCCGAGGGATCAGAGGCTGGGCTGGCTTAAGTGAACAGAAGGTCTGGGAGGAGAACCGCGTGCGGGTTTGGATTCTGGAGTAAAGGACCTGGGTATGTGCGGCTGAGGAATTTTATTGCAGGTGTGCATGGGGTGTGGGTGCCATTGTGTGTGACAGGACGGGTAGTGAGTGTCTGTGACCCTGGTGTGTGTGAGAAGGGTCTTCTTGCTCTTAATGTAGGTCATTGGCCTCCTGCAGATAACTTGTCTAGAGAATGGGTGTTTGTCCCTGTTTGGGTGCTTATAGCCCCCACTGGTGACAGGGTTACTTAATGGTGTCATGCAGGCCATGGCCTCCCCCATGGAACTAGCGGCCCCTTCTGGGCACTCTACTTGGTGCTCTCACGCACAATTTAACTATGCAGCAGGGCGGGTGGGAGGTCAGGAGCCCAGGCTGGGGAGATATATGACAATTCTGGGGGGGCAGAGCTGGCATCCCTGGGACCTTCATACATGTGGCTTGGGAGCCCGCGGTTCCCAGGCCCTGGCTTCCCACTGACACCCTCCCGCCGGGGTGGGCTACCCCCACCCCCGCCCCAGGAATGTTCTTCTCCGCTCTGGCCCTCCTCCCTAAGGGCAAGCCCCTGGGGGATGCTATGGCCCCGCCTCCCACTCGCGGGGAGCCCAGGAGGGGACGATGTGGGCAGGACGCCTGGGTTCTCTCTTCCCTCCTCCCAACCCAGGGAGAAATTCCTCCGAGGTCCCCTCAGGCACTGGGTTCCCAAAATAACCCTGCGGGGGAAGGGAGGCTGTTAAGGGAGGGGAAGCGGGAGGAGCGCAGAACCGAGCTGCGGGGTGCTGCAGGTGCCTGTGGGGAGCAAGCTAGAGGAGAGGAGGGCCCGCCAGGAGGCTTGGGACACCATCGAACCCTTGGGGTACTGCCTCGTCCCTTATTTTCGTAGAGCCCTCTACCTTCCCGCTACTCCGCGGGTGGGCCGGAAGCCTCTCGGCTAGTCCATTTCCCAACTAGGAGGTTGCACCATCCCAGGGCAGGACCGTTTAACCCTGGGAGTGGCAGCAGCAGGCAACTCCGCCCCTGCCCAGCAGGGGGCGTGCCTGCTCCGCCCCGTTCCTGTGCGCCCGGCCGCTCCCCGGGTGCCTCCGCTGACTCCTACTCTGTTTCTCCCGGGACAAGGGCAGGGTTCGAGCCCAGTGGGAGGCTTTCGGAGCGTAGCTTGGGTCCAGCCCATCGGCACTGGAGGCCATGGCGAGCACTCTGGATTTGGACAAGGGTTGCACGGTAGAGGAGCTGCTCCGAGGCTGCATCGAAGCCTTTGGTGAGTTGCCTGCAGCACGAGGGGCACACCCAGCCCGAGCCTGAAGCAGACCCCTGGCCAGGACCTACTTAGGCTCCCATCTTGCAGTCCACTTAACGAAGGCCCCTTTTCTTTGGAGAGGTGTGCCCAAATATACCCTATATCCAGACGACTGGGAATTGGGAGACAGGGGTCCCAACTCTGACCTGGGATGGACATTATCTGTCTCCCTGGGGAATCCGGAGGAACTCTCTATCTCTAGCCTGGGAACTGTTTCCGGCAGATGGGGGTTGGTTTATCTGGTGAAGGGGTGCCCCTTCCCCCAGCACTCAGGAAATGACCTCTGGATTCTTGACCCCGGGGAACCCAGGCTCCTTCCGCCCCAGCTGGTTCCCCTCTGGACTATGGGCTTTCTTCAACCTCCCCTCCTCCAGTTCCTGGATCCTGTGGTACCCCTTGCCCACCCAGACTTCTTTCTCAACTTTGACCTCCTGGCTTAGGAGTGCTAGGAAAAGCAGTAGGTGGGCGGGGTCGGGAATGCAGACCCAGGGACCTGACACCAGACTACAGACTAGGCTGAGCTATCTGAGCCTCCGGACCAAGGGTCAGCCGCCTTCTCTTTGACTTTTGGAGCAGATGACTCCGGAAAGGTGCGAGATCCGCAGCTAGTGCGCATGTTTCTCATGATGCACCCCTGGTACATACCTTCCTCTCAGCTGGCTGCAAAACTGCTCCACATATATCCTTGGCCGGCATGACTGAGGCCCGGCTGTCGGGACCAAGAGCTCATCCTGAGTGGCTTGCTCAGGGCCTTAGAGCCTCGAGTGCAGGCCTTGCCTATATCCCACAATTGAGACACCGTCCTGTCTCCTAGGGCCTAGGCTTTACCCTGTACCTAGCTCAGGATTTGGTCTCTTTTGTGACCTAGGCCTTGCCCTGGCTCTGCCCTAAGGTCTTGCTCTGTTCAGGGACGACTTCTTGCCCCTCTCCTAGGCCAGTGGAGTACTACCCTCTAATCCATCAATGACTGCTCCCGCAGTGCTCATCCTCGTCTCCCAATCCTCCTGGAACCCAGGCTTTGCTAGAGTCCCACCCCCTGGGTTCTCAGGCCGTGCCCTCTGCTCCTAGTCCTGGCCTTTGGTTCCATGCTGTTGTCCTTAACTCTGCTCTACCTATCAGCAATCCCGGAAGGACAACTCCAATTCTCTACAGGTGAAAATGTGTCACCTGTGCAGGTGAGTCTGGGCCTTGGCCCCTCCTCTTGCTGCTTCCTCAAGCTTCAGGTGGGCTCCAGGCAGGAGTGGACAGCAGTTAGGGAACCGACCATGAGGGTTTTGCCAGTGGACGCTGTCCAGGTGTGCTGCTGGTCTTGTTATTTTCTGCTGGTGTGTGTTGGGGTTGGGGATGGAGAAGGAAAGCGCTGGAGGACGGGGGTGGGTGGGATGGGTGGGTGTTGGAACAGAACATACTTGGAGATACTTTACCTCTCCTTTGAGGTGAATATAGTCCTAATAGTTCCTTCCCTTGCCCACTGGGGGATGGTGAGGGAAGGAGGGCTGCCTCAGGTGACTTGACTCTGCCTGCCCCTCCTCCAGGTACTGGATCTCAGCATTCCCAGCAGAGTTTGATCTGAACCCAGAGCTGGCTGAGCAGATCAAAGAGCTGAAAGCTCTGTTAGACCAAGAAGGGAACCGAAGGCACAGCAGCCTCATCGACATCGAGAGTGTGTGCGTGGGGGGGCGGAGCTTGGGGGCACTAAGCATCCTACACCATATGTGCTTAATAAATGTCTGTTCAATTGAATGAGTGAGGGTCACGTCACTCTCTTGCTTTAAAACCTTCCATGGCTCCCTATCACCTTCAAAACACTTCCAGCTATTAAGGCCCTCCGTGGTGTCAGGCCAGCCTGACATTCCTGTCCTGCATCCCACACACTTCATACTGCGGCTGTTTGGGTCCACTCGCCATTGTCTGTGTCCTGCATCGTTCCTCTCCATGGTACTTGCTCTTGTTGCCCTGTCTCTTCCATTCTCACCAGACTCAGCACAAGCGTGGTGAGGGTGTGCTACTCTTCCAGGGCAGGATTTGCCATTCTTTCCTGTGTTTTCCCAAGATGCTTTGTGCAGACTCCTGCCCAGAGCCCTGGGAACATGTGTCCCAATGTTTGGTGATGGCATGTTTCTGTGTCTGTCTCCCCCAGTAGATTGTGAGCTCCTGGAGGGCAGGAACCGTGTCTTGCTCATCTCTGTACCCCAGTGCCTGGCACAGTTGTCCATCAGTGTGTTGAGTGCACGGTGAGGGAACATGTGAAGGAGTTGCTGGGGCTTGGGAATGTTAGACTTAGGATGGTGGCTCCTACTGTTTTGGTCCCAAGTCAGTTTGAGTGGCATGTCTGAGTGTGGGGTCACAGGAGGCAGGGGACATCTCCAGCACAGGGCTCACTACCCCTGCTCCCCCAGCCCTACCTACAAGTGGAAGCGGCAGGTGACGCAGCGGAACCCTGTGGAACAGAAAAAGCGCAAGATGTCCCTGTTGTTTGATCACTTGGAACCTATGGAGCTGGCAGAGCATCTCACCTACTTGGAGTATCGGTCCTTCTGCAAGATCCTGGTGTGGCCTGAAGGCTTGTGGTTGGGGTGCAGTGTGGGTTGAGAAAGGGCTAAGACTCTGGGATAGGCTGCCTCCCAGGGATGGTTGGGTGGTTCCATTATTAAGACAGTGGGAGGGTGAGCAAGGCTGGTAGCAATGGGAAAGGCCAACAGGGCACTCAGGCCAAGTCCACCTGCCCACAGTTCCAGGACTATCACAGCTTTGTGACTCACGGCTGCACCGTAGACAATCCTGTCCTGGAGCGATTCATCTCCCTCTTCAACAGCGTCTCACAGTGGGTCCAGCTCATGATCCTCAGCAAGCCCACAGCCACGCAGCGGGCGCTGGTCATCACACACTTCGTGCATGTGGCAGAGGTGCCCACTTTCCCTGCATGCCCAGCCTCCCCGTCCGTGGCCACCAAGCCCTTCCCCTTCTCTCCAGAAGGGCGGCTGGGTGACACACTGCCTCCCCCTCCATATTTGCCTCCCAGAAACTGCTGCAGCTGCAGAACTTCAACACGCTGATGGCTGTTGTTGGAGGCCTGAGCCACAGCTCCATCTCACGCCTCAAGGAGACCCACAGCCATGTCAGCCCTGAGACCATCAAGGTACCTGGTTTGGGAGGGGCCTAAGCTCCCCAGTTGCAGCCTTCCCAGTGTAGTGCTGGGGCCTAGGCACAATTGCTCTTGCGTGACAGTTGAAGAAACTGAGGCTTGGAGGGGGTACAATGCCCATGGCAGTGGTGGGTCTCCAGGCCTGCTTGGTCCTAAAGCTAATTTTTTTAACAGTGTATGTGTGTGCATGAGAACTAAGGTTGACATCTGTTTTCTTCTGTCACTCTCTCCATTTTATCTTTTTAAAATTCTTATTTTATTTATGGGTATGTGTGTATGCCACATATATTCATGTGCCCATGGGGATCAGATGGCTCCTTTGGAGCTGGAGTCACAAGGCAGTTGTGAGCTGCCTGACATGGGTACTGGGAACAGAACTCAGGGCCTCTAGAAGCTCAGCAAGTACCTCGAGCCACTTCTCCAGGCCCAGTCTATCTTAAGATAGGGTCTTTTACTGAACCCAGAGTTCACCAACTGGCTAGACTAACTGGCCAGTGAACTCCAATGATCTGTCTTTCTCCACCCACTGAGTGCTTTGGTTAGAGACATGCATACAACTATGCCTGGATTTTATGTGGCTGCCAGGGACCCACACTTGGGTCCTCGTGCTTGCATGGCACACATTTTACTGATGTGGCTACATCATGAGACCCTGCCTTGAAAAAAAATAATAATAAAGGGGGAAAACCACTATAAAGTTTAAAAAGTAAAACACTGGGATCTGGAGAGATGTCTCAATGGTTAAGAGCACTTGTTCTTGCAGAGGACCCAGGCTGAGTGCCTAGCACCCACAAGTTGGCTCAGGGTACCAGGCATTCACATGATGCCCGTACACACATACAGGCAGGACATCCCATAGAATAAAATAAGTCCCTTTTTGTGTGTGTCTTTTCCAAGACAGGGTTTCTCTGTGTAGCCCTGGCTCTCCAGGACCTCACTCTGTAGACCAGGCTGGCCTCGAACTCAGAGATCCGCCTGCCTCTGCCTCCCAAGTGCTGGGATCAAAGGTGTGTGCCAGCAATAAATCTTTATAAAAAGAAAAGCATGCTGGCTGGAGTGTGCTCAGGGGTAGTGTGCACTTGAAGATCCTGGGCTTTGACAGAGCACCAATCACCAAGCTCAAACAAACAGAGCCCAGAAAACATTGCTGCTCCTTAAAGGATAATAAGGTGACCTGAAGGTGACCCCTGCTCAAGCAACAGGGGTCAGGACCTCTATGATGAGGGCTTTCCTTTTCTTCCTAGCTTTACTGCATCCCAGTGCAAAATGTTGGGGCTTTTTGTTGCCTGCTTCCAACCTCCTCTGGGTAGAGTACATGTGATTTTTTGTCTCAGACCCTTTCATTCCACCTGGCTGGAAGAAGCTCTCCATCCTATTGTTTGGGGCAATTACTCATTTCCGTTGTCTCATGTTATTGTAAATCTGTACTATTGTTGACCATTTAAGGGGTCTCTTTTTTATGGATTAGTTTATTTAGTGTATGTGTGCCCATATGTGGGTGTGTGCGTGTGCCCACACCACAGCTCTTGGGTGGAGCTCAGAGGTCTACTGGCAGCAGTCTGCTCTTTCCTTTTACCACATGGGCCCTGGAGATTGAACGGGGGTCCTCAGGCTTGGTGGCCTTTACCCACTCGGCCATCTTGCCAGCCTTCTTTCTCTCTCTTTTCTTCTCTGTCTTTGTCTCTTCTCTCTCTCTTTTTGTTTCTTTCTTTGATTCAGAGTCTCACTGTGTAGCCCTGGCTGTGGTGGAATTCCCTATGTGGACCAGGCTGGCCTTGAACTCACAGAGATCCACCTGCCTCTGCCTCCTCACTGCTGGGATTCCAGGCTTATGTGGCCATGCTCGGTTTAAATTTTTCCACAATTTACAACCACCAGACACCCACCCTGTCTCGTAACACCTTTCTCCGCTAATAGGCCTGTGCTTAAATGTTGAAAAATGCTCAGCCCTGGTATAGTCATTTCCTTGGACTCATAACCTATGAGCTCTGACCCCTGGAGTTTGAGAGAGCAATACAGGAGGATTTGACCTTTTTTCCTATCCTTGACCTTGCTCCCGTCCATTCCCACTGTTCTAGGGCTGAGGTGGGAGGATGGTTGAGTGGTGTGTGTGAGTGACATTTTGACCTTTCCTCCAGCTCTGGGAAGGCCTGACGGAATTAGTGACAGCCACTGGCAACTACAGCAACTACCGGCGAAGGCTGGCAGCCTGTGTAGGCTTCCGCTTCCCTATCCTGGGTGTTCACCTCAAGGATCTGGTGGCCCTGCAACTGGCACTGCCTGACTGGCTGGACCCAGGTCGAACCAGGCTCAATGGAGCCAAGATGAGGCAACTTTTTAGCATTCTCGAGGAGTTGGCCATGGTGACCAGCCTGCGACCACCAGTGCAAGCCAACCCTGACCTGCTGAGTCTGCTCACGGTGAGGGGCTAGGGACAATATCTGCATTTTCATCTGCTATGACTGTAGGCTTGCTGGGTTCTGAACAAAAATCTGAGGTTAATCTTGGGCTCTGGGGTTTGTACTGAACTCTGAGGTGGTTCCAAAGTTTCGCTGAGACACAGGCTTGTGGTTTGATCTCAAGGCTGCTGCATGTACCATGGGCTGGGTCTGAGGCTGGGCCTGGGTTCTTGGTCCTGATTTGAGCTCCTGACTGGGTTATATTCAAAGGGTGGGACTAAGCTGTGACATGGGTGATTTCTTTTTTCTTTTTTGTTTTTTCAAGATTGGGTTTCTCTGAGTAACCATGGCTGTCCTGGAAATCACTCTGTAGACCAGGCTGGCCTCAAACACACAGAGATCCGCCTGCTTCTGACTCAGAAGTGCTGGGATTAAAGGCATGCACCACCACCACCTTGTAGACATGGGTGATTTCTAACATGATCCTGGCTCCTGACTGAAATTCTCTTAGTATTTATTAATTTAGTTTTTGGAGACAGGATCTCACTTGGTAGCCCAGGCTGACATGAACTTACTAGGGAGCCTCAGCTAACTTTGACCTCATGATTATCTCTTTGTCTGAACCTCTAATGTGCTTGGATCACAGGGACCATGCCCAGCTTTGGGCGAAGGTCTTTAGACCTGGTTCTGACTCCATGGCTTGTGATATTTTGGCAGTGCATTGTTTTTAAAGTTTGCTCTGTGGGCTGGCTGGCATGGAAGTGATTGGGGTGTTTTCTAAGCTGGCCTTTGTCCTGAGTCTAGCTTTCACATCAGGCTCTGGGCAGAATAGTAAGTAGTCCTGTGTCCCTGGGTTTGTAGCTCCTATGTAAGAGGGAAGCAGGGGCCTGGGGGTATGACCAGACCTATGTGTCCCAGGTGTCCCTGGATCAGTATCAGACGGAGGATGAGCTGTACCAGCTTTCCCTGCAGCGTGAGCCACGCTCCAAGTCATCGGTAAGGGAGCCCCTCACCCCTCACTCTGCACTTGAGAATCCCAGGGTACAAGGACAGAAGGAACATTCTCCATCCACTACACCCACCTACTTGGTTGACAGTAGAATCCTGGGGGTGGGGTTGGCCTTGGGCAGGCTTTCTCTTTCTATTTATTGGAGCCTTAGCTTCATTCCCACTCTGGCCCTGGCTCAGACCTGACTGTTCCCACAGCCAACCAGCCCCACCAGCTGCACTCCGCCTCCCCGACCTCCTGTGCTGGAAGAGTGGACCTCAGTTGCCAAGCCTAAGCTGGACCAAGCCTTGGTGGCAGAGCACATTGAGAAGATGGTGGAGGTGAGAGTCCTGGAGGCCAAGGGAATCTGGTAGAAGCAGGGGTCCATAAAGCTAGTTTCTCTGAAGCCTGGTCCTGGGAGCCACTACTAGTGCCGTATCTGATGGCCAGTGCTCTGACCATCCCCTAGGAGGCACAGAGTATAGCTGGATAGCTGCATTATGGGTTGATGAGGCAGGGACTGAAAAGGGACATGGGAGGCATCTCTGATACTCCTCATAACAGACTAGGCTCAGATGTTCCTTTTAATTCTCTCCTCTCCTGGCCTTGTGTGTTCATCTGTAGTCTGTGTTCCGGAACTTTGACGTCGATGGGGATGGTCACATCTCACAAGAGGAGTTCCAGATCATCCGGGGCAACTTCCCTTATCTCAGCGCCTTTGGGGACCTGGACCAGAACCAGTGAGGAGGATGGGGGGCGGGGTAGAGGGAAGGCATCAACCCACTTCCCCTTGAGTGTACAGAGAGCAAGGCCTTGCCTTGCCTGGGGAGCTGCCCGTGCGGCTGTGACGTTTTGGAGTGGGAGGAAGCTGCCAGCCATGGAGGGATAGCATTATCTTGCTAGTTTGGACAGATGGGGGAGCCCCACCTGAGCCTTGCAAAGAGAACACTATTTTATTTGTGGAGTTCACAGCTGCCAAGAGTGTGGGGAAGTTGAGCCCCTGGGTAGCCAGCTTTAATGAACAGTAAGAAAGGCCGTAATTAGCAGCACCCACTTGCTTATCCACAATTCATATGCTGGCAATTTGGAAACACATCTGGTTCTCTGAAGCAGGTTAAATGTGCCCTCCGTAACGGTGTTTATGCCCCATATTTGCTGAGATGACAAAAGCCCAGTCAAAATCTACAGTCCATCCCAGGTTGATTTATTTTTAAATGTGACCTGTATTTCAAAAATATGTGGTTTGGGGGCTGGGAATGAGTCTCAGTTGGTAGAGCGTCTGCCTAGCATGCAAGAAGCCCTGGGTTTTATCTTTAGTACTATATAATGGGGCATAGTTACACTCTCCTGGAATCCCAGCATTTGGGAGAAAGAAGCAGGAGAGGCAAAAGCTCTTAAGTCATCGTCAACTACATAGCAAATTTGAAGCTAGCCTGGGCTACATGAAGCTTTGTCTAAAAAAAATTTATTATTATTATTATTGTTCCCACATTACAAAAATTATGGTAAGAGCAAAATCCACATAGTAAAATAAATTCCCAATGAATAAAGTGTTTAAAGTAAGCAAGTGTTAAAGGGAAAGTACATGTGAAAATATTAATAATTTAATAAAAAAAAATTTAAGTCAAAAAAAAAATTTAAAAAAAAAAACCCGTTTAAAAAAAAAAAAAAAAAAAAAAAAAAAAAGGCTGCTAATGTCCCTTTGCTCCTTATGTAGCCCAGGCTAGCTTGAATTTACTATCTACCTCAGGTTGTCCTCAAACTCAAAGCGATCCTTCCTTATTTTCCTTAGTGCTGGGATCACAGGTGTGTGCCATCATGCCTGGCTGCTTCCATCCTTTTGGGCACCCATGTAAAATGGATGTGGATTTTGGTCTGAAGTGTGTTTCATAGCCAAACAGGACTTATACGTGGATCTATTCCCACTGGTGGCCAGACTGAAACATGCACCCAGTTCCATGTTTTCTCCCTGGGCTGGTGGGTGGGTTTGTTTGTTTTGTTCTTTCTTTCTGGGCTCTTAACCCTGGAGGTTGTAGCTTCAGGGAGCCTCAGCCCTAAGACTCAACCTTATGTAAGCTCAGACAGTTGATTGGCCACCAAACCTCATTATTAGGCTCATAAAGAGAAAACAGGCTATTTACCTGGGATGTAAGCCAGGGGCAGCTCCTGGGCTTAGCATGCATAAGGCCCTGGGTTCTGTCTCATCTCCAGCTCCCTTAGAATCCAGAGGAAGACCAGTTCCAGTTCACAGCTTCTTTTGAGTTTGTTATTTCTGCCCCTCACTCATTTTTTTTAAAAGTAGTTTAAGACAAGGTTGCTATATATACCAGGCCAGCTTTGAACTAACTCTATAGCCAGGTGTGGTGCTGAACTCCTGATTCTCTTGCCTTGACCTCCCCAGAGCTCCTCTGATAGGAGATTTGGAGTTGTATGTTAACACCACATCTGGCTTCTGAAGCTCTCTGTTTCTGGAACTGGGAGATTTCTATCTCTTGCAAAATCATCTATGCATTTTAAAAAACTTGATTAATTTTAATATTATTTTATTTATTTACTTTTTTGGAGACAGGGTCTCACTCTAGGTGGGATCTTGCTGGGAGCTTACTATGTAGCCCAAGCTGACTTTACAATCTTAGCCTCCAGAGTGCTGGAATTCCAGGGATGAGCCACCTTGGCTCACATTTTAGTTTTTTTCTGTGCTGAGCATTGAACCCAGGGCCTTATGAATTCCAGGCAAGCACTTCACCGGTGAGCCATATCCCAGGCCTGTTTTTATGTTTGCTCTCTGCTAAATCACACCCATCTCTCCACGTGGATTCATGTAGGAGTGCATCATTAGTATTTATTTATTTATTTGGGGGTTCTGGGGATTGAACCTAGGGCTTACATATTCCAGGCAAGCACTCTGCCACTGGGCTGTGGTGTCCACACTACGTCATCCTTTAGAGTCCAGACTGCACTGTGTGGTTGGCCACCCCTTCACCTGTGCCTCCTCCAACCGATGGACATGCAGATGGTCCACAGCTGCTCTGTAATTATCTGTCCTGCTTCTGGGAAAGTCTTTGTATCCACTTCCTTATCCACTCCCTTGGCCCAGTGTTTCTGGAGGAGAGATTCCTAGAAGTGGGATCACTGCATCCAAAGCAGATACATCCTAAGTTAGAGAGAGAGAGAGTGCCAACTGACCTCAGACAAGGTTGTACCCGGTTGCACCCTATCAGCCGTGTCCAAGTGCCTGTGTCCCAGCCTCCTTGCCAAGAGCAGAGGCTATAATAAGCCCTATGGTTTTGCCAGTTGATTTGGAAAATGGTGTCTTTGTTAATTTGCATCTCTCCAACCCGACGGGGTCTATCTATTCATATGTTTATTGACCACTTATATTTCTTCTGTTAATTGTTCATATTCTTTGTTTGTCATCCTACTGGGTTTGTGCGTCTTCTCATTGATTTCTAGAATCTGTACTAATGGATATTAACTCCTTGCTGTTGAGTATGTTTGCAAATATTTTCTTCCTGTCTGTCACTGATGTTGTCTTTTTCCATATAAAATTTTTTTAAAGCTTTGCGTGTTTGATATGTCAACCTTTTCTTTGATAGCTTTTTGGATTTGTATGATGTGTAGAAAGGCCCTCTGCTCAAGGTCACAAAACAATTCTCAAATCTCACGTCCATGATTTTATGTATTCATCTGTGTCTCATTCCAGGAGAATGTGGTTTTCATAGCTAATACTTGGGTAGAAGCATTCCTTTCTTTTCTGTCTGTCTGTGTCTCTATCTATCTATCTATCTATCTATCTATCTATCTATCTCTTTATCTCTCTATCTATCTATCTGTCTGTCTATCTATCTATCTATCTATCTATCTATCTATCTCTTTATCTCTCTATTGACCTATCATTTTTCAAGACAGAGTTTTGGCTGTCCTGGAACTTGCTCTGTAGACCATATGACCTGGAATTTACATCGATCCGCTTGAGGCCTCCTGAGTTCTGGGATTAAAGGGCTGTGCCACCACTGCCTGGCTAAAGCCTATATTTCATTTTTAAAAAACAAATCACCAGTTGTCCCATTGAGATAAGGGCTCTCTAGTGTCATATCATAGAACATCAAATTTCAAATAAGGGCTGGCTGTGGAAGTGACAGCCACCAAGAAGTGATCGATGAGTGGGATGTGGTGGCACATGCCTGTACTCTCAGCTTTTGAGAGACTGAGGAGTTCAAGGCCAGACTCAGCTATAATAACCAGTTTGAGGTCACCCTCAGCTACAAGAGGCCGAGCCAAAAAAAAAAAAAAAAAGGCAGAATGGCTCACTTTCTTAATACTAGCTAGCACTTAGGAGACAGAGGCAGGCAGATCACTGTGAGTTCTGGCCCAGCCTGGTCTACATAGTAAGTTCCAATCCTGCTAAGGGTGTTTAATGAGAGCCTGTCTCAAAAAAAAAAAAAAAAGTGGGAGGAGAATATCCCAAATTAAAATGTAAAAAATAGAAAAAAAATAGAAGTGACTGAAGACCCACCTAGCCACTTTGACATTTGTACGAATTTTCTCTTTTGACTCTCAACAATACATAGGGGTGCAACAAGTAGGATTATGCCCATTTGGAGATAAGGAAACTCAAGCACAGGGAGATTAGACGGCCCCAGGTAACAGGGCTGAGAAGTAGAGCTGAGGTTTGTTTTTATTGGGTGGGTGGTTGAGACGGAGTTTCTCTATGTAGTCCTGGCTATTCTGGAACTCACTATGTAGACTTGGCTGGCCTTGAACTCTCATCAAAGGCACGAATCATCATGCCCAGCTAGAGGTGGGATCTGAACTAACATCTATGCCCACAACACATTGGCGTCTAAAATACATTCCTAGATGAGAAAGGGCCCTTGAGAAGCCGGAGTCTGGTGGAAACCCCGAATCACAGGCGCAGCTGCCGAGCAGCTGCCGGGCTCTCTTCAAAGTCCCAGTCCTCAGGTGCCCTGCAGGTGCAGAGGTGTGGCGCAAGCACACTGCGGAACCGGAGACTCCCAGCCTCTTTAGCCCTCTTTAGCCAACACCCCAACTTCGGAATCCCCATTGTCTTGAGGAGGAAACCCTAGGGAAATGACTTCGCCAAGCTCACACTAGTTAGTGGTAGATGCTAAGTGTCCTCTTGTTTCCTGCACGGACCTTTTCCGGACCTTTTCTTCCGCCCATGGGGTTGGGAGATCCTCCGTGGCCCCAGGGGAGGACCGGAGCTGAGGTGTTCCCACGTCCACCAGGGATGGCTGCATCAGCCGGGAGGAGATGGTCTCCTACTTCCTGCGCTCCAGCTCGGTGCTGGGCGGCCGCATGGGCTTCGTGCACAACTTCCAGGAGAGTAACTCGCTACGCCCGGTTGCCTGTCGCCACTGCAAAGCTCTGGTGAGCATCCGCTGCCCAGGCTATCCATCCTCCTCTCCAGCCCGGGCCTGCGGGCCCACATCCCGCCCTTCTGCTGGCCCCACCTCTGTCGGAGCCCTAGCCAACCCGCAAAACACCTTGGGTTCTAGACCCCAAGCCCCGTTCTGCGGGCCTATAAAACCTTAACCCCCCAGCATGGTCCCCTCCTTTATTGTAGATCCTGGGCATCTACAAGCAGGGCCTCAAATGCAGAGGTAAGATAAAATAGAACAAATCCTGGACCAAGGTTTGGGGGAAGAGTTCCTGTTGGGGTAGGGAAATTGATGGTGGCAATTTCCAGCAAGTGAACTATGTTGTAACTAGGGTGGCATCCTGACTGACAGAAGGGGCTTATCTTTTAAAATGCTGTGGTGAGGCAAGCTACCTATGAAAAAGTACTTTGGAGAGGGCACAGTCTGGTATTAAATTAATATGAAGGGAGCAACTTGGGAGGAGCCTCGTAGTTTGATGGGGTGATTTCTCAGGAGCAAAGAACCCCGGGAGAAGCACAGGCTTGAAGGAAGAGTTTTCTGACCCACGGCCCTTGTTGGGCTCCTCTTCTTCCCTCCCCCAGCTTGTGGTGTGAATTGCCACAAACAGTGCAAAGACCGCCTGTCTGTGGAGTGTCGCCGCAGGGCCCAGAGTGTGAGCCTGGAGGGCTCTGCGCCCTCTCCCTCACCCACACATACCCACCATCGGGCTTTTAGCTTCTCCCTGCCTCGCCCAGGCAGGCGCAGCTCCAGGCCCCCAGGTAAGAGGACCCCCAGGCAGTCAGTGTCATTGTGGCTTATAAACTTATCCCGGATGCTGGCTGGTTCAGACTTCGGTTCTTTTATTTTGGTATATAAAGAAGGGTTGGGCAGGTAAGAATGCCAGAAAGTGCCCAAAGAGCCCCCAACTTTCTGAGGCTGCCATGGAGAGAGGCCCTAATTTAGTTTATTTTTGAGACAGGGTCTTAATATATAGCTCTGGCTAGCTCTGCTTCCCAAGTACTGGGATTAAAGGAGTGCACCCTAATTTTAAGGAAGCTTCAAGATCCCAGTTATACTTCTGTTTTGTTAGGGGGATTGGCATTCTGTGAACTATTTGCATTTCTCTTTTTTCCTGTCATTATAAAAGCCCCTTCCCCCATAACCTCTGGGTGGTACTCTTGGGGTCTCTGTTGGTTTTGATTGGTTTGCTGAACTATGATTTGCCAAATGATTATTTTCCCTGAGAATAGTCTGAACAATAAGCTAAACTGAAGTCCAAGGCAAAAGAGAAAACTGTTTGCAGTCTGTCTTCAGATGTGCTGGACTCTAAACTGTGCAATACGCACAAAATCGACGTTTCAGTAAACTGCACAGAGATGTGGCTGTGGGAAGTGCTGCGGCAGAAAGAAACGTAGAACAAGCCTCAAAAATGGGGTCGTTTGGTCGTTCTGAGAATTGATTTTTGGAGGATGGGTCTGCTTCCTGGATGGGGAAGGGATGAGAGCCTCCTGTGATCGGAGAAGGCTGCTGAGGTCACAGGGGCCAGGGGTGGATTTGTGGACAACTCTCGAATCCCTCTCCACAGAGATCCGAGAAGAGGAGGTGCAAACAGTGGAGGACGGAGTGTTTGATATCCACTTATAAGATGGTGAGTCCTCCCTCCCTGTGCAAGCTGCCAGAGGGCTGGCATAGCTTACTGGGAGGGCCTAGTAAATGATTCTTATCTAAATGGCCTGGGCAGGTGGGCTCCTACTCTGACAAGGGGGTTGTTTTCCTTACAACTTCCATTTTTTTTCTCTTCCTAGATGTGACTATCAAGGACCCATGCCTGCTTTGGAGAAAAGACTTGGAGCAGAGCAGGGAGCCTGGGGTTTGGGGCAGGAAGCCGGGCTGAGGGTGGGGGTTGAGGGTGGCATGCACTGAGGTCAGGGCCAGGGCTGGTGTCCCTAAGGTTGTACAGATTCTTGTGAATATTTGTATTTTCCAGATGGAATAAAAAGGCCCGAATAATTAATCTGGACAATTAGCCTAAAATCCTTAGACACTGTACTTCTAGAATTCCATAGGTTGGACAGGTTGCAATTTCATGTGCATCTGGACCCCCTGGGTAATGAGGCCTTAGAAGCAGGAACACCTCAGAACACAAAACTTTTGGGAAGGGTCTAAAATGGGGGGTTCCTGAATCTTGGGAATTCTGAGCCTTGACACTAGTGAGTCTTTTCACCCTGGAATTGCTAGGCCTGGGGCAACTGGAGTTTTCAACCCATAAGCAAAACTCCCCTGCCTTCCAGGGAACCTTTTAGGTCCTGGTTGAATACCCCAGTGACAGTGCTCATGGCAGGAGGGAGAGGGCCACCCAGGGTGCTGGCTGTGGAGGCAGAGCTGAGAGCCAGGAGGGCTGGGGACAGCCAGAGGCTTGGACTGGTGTGCCTCAGGGTGGGGGCTGAGCTCCATGGTCATGCAGCCTCTAGGCCTGGTGCTGCTGCCAGCCGGAAGGACAGTGACTTCCAGAGGAAATGCATATTGATCCTGCTCAGCTCCGGAGGCCTCTCCTAACCCAGCTTGCTCTTCCCTCCTGAGCTGGCAGCACAGAGAAATTGGGGGTGGGTGGGTGCCACCACTAACTGAGTAAGGCCAAGGCCATTTCTAAGGCTGCTTTGGGACAGGAAGGTGCTCTATGGTGGTCACCCAGAGGATCTAGAGCCTGACCAGGCTGCCCCTAGGTCAGAAGATACCAGATAGCAATGCTGAGATTAGGAGTTACCTCTCCAGATTTCCACACTGCAGGATGGCCCTCCAGCAGCTGTTGGCTTGTTCTGGGGGTAGAGAAAGAGCACCCGATTCCCTCCTGCACATCACTCTGTTCTGCAGACCTGGCTGTGGTCTTGGGGTCCCTGAAGAACGCACTGTCCCAGGTCCCTCACTTCCTGTCCCTCTCTGCCTTTTGACTCTACTTCCCCTGACCTCCTAGTCCTTATTTTGGATCACCTCATTCTCCTGCCCTGTCACAAGGATCAGCTTTAGTCCTGTCCCTCACTAAGTCCCCTACACTGCCTCTCCTTCTGTCCTCAGCCCCCTCCTGCCCTTCCCCCTCTTGAGGCTGTAATATCCGTTTCACGATTTGGGGGCTGAGTTGCTATAACAACAGACGGCGATTGTGTTGTGAAGAGCAGCTAGCTCCTGCTCTGCCAGCCTGCCTCCCGCTGCCTCCATCCCTGCAGCCTGGTCGGCTCCCCAGCCCACCCCCAGCCCCTTCCTGGCCTCTTCCCAGTGTGTGGTGTGCCCTGGAGCTCAACTCTGCCCGTCTGGGATGGGACACGTACCTGTCTTTCAACTGTCATTCAGATGTGTCAGAACTGGAAGTCTGGGCTTCACATAGTGTGTGTACCTGTGAATGTGTGTGGGAACTGCGCCTGTATTTGCAGGGTTTTTCCTCCCTATGTGTCCCTATTGGCCTGTGTACCTGCCCAGAAGGATGTTTACTTCATGCTTCCCACCAATGTCCACGCTGGGTGGGACCTGTGTATTTGAGGGGTGTATTCTGAAGTGGTGGGGCCCAGTTGCCATGAGGGGCTGACTATGGAACCTCCCTACTAAAGGAGAAGGGCAGGGAGGAACTGCAGGCTTCAGTGACCTTTCCTGCCCTTGATGGGAAAAGCTGAGGGTAGGGACAGGAGACCAGTGTCACCCTTGCTCCCTCCCCACCCAGATTCCTTGGTTTTGAGCATTGTCATTGGGTCACTGTACCTGTTTGTCTGTCCCTCTGCATTTTTGTGTGTGTGTGTGTGTGTGTGTGTGTGTGTGTGTGTGTGTGTGTGTGTGTATGTGTGGTGTAGTCTGCAGGAGGAGGAGCAGTGGAGGATGGGTGGGGCAGTGGGCTGTTGGTGGTGGTGGGGGGGGGTCAGAGAGGTCCTGACTCAGCAGTTCTTGTGCTTCCTCCTCCAGTGGCCTGGGTGGGGGCAGCTTAAGAGTCTTTCCAAGGTCAGGGTAGGCCCCAAGTCCGGGACTTGGTTCAGGAATCTCCCTTTCCACTGCCTAGGAAATACCCTCTGCAGCTAGGAAATACCCTCTGCAGCTGGGTCCCCTCCTATCCCCCTTACAGGCTGTCAAAGGAGGCCCTCTGGAGAATGTCCACATTCACTAACTCTCCCCCTTACAGGCTGTCAAAGGAGGCCCTCTGGAGAATGTCCACATTCAATTTCTGAGTTAGAAATTGACCACTCTGCAATGTACCTTCCAATGGTTAGGGTGATCCCATGGGCAGGTCCCCTGTGAGCACCTTGGGTGTGTGGTTGCCCTCGATTGTGCAGGTACCTGTGTGCACAAGCATGCAGGTTCTTGAGGGAGTGTGCTTTTCCTGTGGTGAGTTACCATGGTGGGGCATCTCTGAAGTGTCCTTTTGTGTCTTTTGGAAACGCTGGGCACACAAGACAGGTGTGCATGGCTGTGTGCCCCCACGTGTATCTGCATACATTAGTGGTTGGATGTGTGTTCTTGCATATTGCCTCTGGCTAAGGAAATGCCAACTGCTACCAGCTGTGCAGATCACAGGCCCTGTAACAGAAATCAGGGTCCTGGGGAGAACTGGCAAAATGGTCTGCCACACACCCACGGCCACACCCACGCCTGCACACTGCCTCATTGAGAAGCCCCGTATCCGACTTAGCTAATGGTATACACACTTAGGCGCTGACTCTACCTTTTCTCGGTGGAATGAGTGAAGGAGGGGTGTGTTTCCTTCTCACATTCTGACACAAACACGGCGATGCAGACATTCTTACCGCAGAAGACCTGCACCCCAGGATCACATTCTAGAAATCCACAGCTAGGGGTAGGAGCTTGAAAGGAGGATTCTGTCAGCCTCGCACTCAGTAACCGGGTGTGAGTAGCCTCAACCCAGCGGCTAACCTATCCCAACCCAGCCTTCCAAGGGGGTGAGAGATGACTCCAAACTCTGGGATTCCCAGGGGTCTGGGCTGGGAAACACCAAGCCCCTATGTCTATTCTGTTTGTAGCTCAGCCTCCCCCCACCCCCAACTTCGTCCTTATCTCATCAAAGCCCTCTAGCTGTTCAGTTCCGGAGGCTTCCAACTAGAAGATGCTGGGACAGTGATGGGTAAGATCTCTGTGAGTGGCTGGAAAAAGCCCACAGCAGTCGGGGTGGGGTGGGGGGTGGGGGGGCTTTCTTGGCTCCAGGTAGCCCAGGCCAGCCCCCAAATGGAGCCAGCAGAGGGCGCTGTAGCCCAGGTCCCCGCTCAGGTCCTGCTCTCTCGGTGCCCCAAGTCAGGGTTCAGTCTTCTCCTTTGGTTTGTCCCAGCCCTGGGCACTGTTTTCGGGACCAGCCTGCAGGGGCGGGTGGG